GCTGTAATTGGCTCTTCACTGCAGAAGCCTTTCATGGCGATAACGGTAAATTACCAGTACGTGTTTGTTTCATTCTTTAAATGTTACTAATCCAGTTTCTTTGGCTCATTTGTGTGTGTTTAAGAACTGATAGTATAAGGAGTTATCCTGTCTGAGGTAAGTAGAGAAAGGTAATGAGCAGGTAAGGATATATTGTTATTGTTTCTTGGCTCTGTATCTTACCTTTCCAGCTAGATTGTAAAGTATTCATGAGCAGATAGCATGATTTCAAATTTCTTTAACGTTCCCTATATTCTTCTGAATACTATCAAATAATGTTTGGTTATCTCAGTGTAACTTTTGCAGAGCAATAAATTACTTATAATGCTGTACTTCTTAGAATAAGAACCAGGTTATCTATTTGGGTCACTTTAACTCTAGCAACTTCCTCCAGAAAAATTTACCACCTCAGTTGTGTTTTAAATACAGACAAATGAACTTACTCCTGATTCTGATCAGATGTAAGAAGTGAAGGGACTTCGTCTTTGGAATTACCTTAAAGTAAATGCATATTTTATATAGTGTGCTAATGAGCACCCTATTCACAATGGATGTGCTTTGTTGATCTACTCATAGTTCTTTTGTCTTCAGTGAATAATAGTGTAATTGTTATGTCCCTGTGTGTGTTTAGTCCCTGTGTGTGTTTAGTCCCTGTCTATACCAACGACTTTATAAATATCTGTTGGTTGTCCATTTCTGGCCCTTTGCAAGGCCTTGGAAACATAAATACCAATAAGTTTGATTTCTACCATCAACACATTTAGTCTAGGAAAGGGAAACAAGTAGGTAAAAGAATTGGGGCACCATTTCAAGACGAAGTAACAATGAGAAGTCACAGGGCAAGAAACAGAGAGGTACGGTATATTTTTCAGAAGCTGCAGGATAGGGTGGGAAGGATTTCACAAGAAACACAACTAAGAGGTAGGTATTGAGCATATCCTGCCTTCTGCTTGTGTTGATTTCTTTCTCCCTGCGAAGGTTGCCAGGGAAGGCTTTTAGGAAGGTAAGCAATATCGCCACCCAGACAAAGGCATGCAGTCTAAGTGACATGGTGTGAGAAGTAACAGCAGGAAACTGTTGCATCAGATTGTTTACATGGAGATTCGGAGCTATGAAAGTAATGGTAACAACCAGGAACCAAGAACAGATGTGGAATGTTAGGAGGAATACGTTCTGAAAACTTGGAGACTGACAGTGTGGAAAGTGAGCAGATCTATATCATCCCTCCCTCTGCATTTCCTGGGAGGGGTGAGTATTCTTCCTCTGGAGGGAGACTGCCAGAAGAGGAGTAGTTTGTAGGGAAAGAGTATTAATTCATGTTAGGAGAGATTGAATTGGAGGTATTTGTGGAAGTTAAAGGAAATAAATCTCAAATACATACATGGCTGTAAAGTTTAAGATTGATAGTCATGATGGAGGTGAACGTTGGATACAGCCGGAAATACTGATGAAAAGCTCCTCGAGCACATCGTGAATATATCCAAATAGCAGAACCTTGGAGAATGGCAGTTACAGGATACCCAGAGAGGAAGGAAAGGGGCTGGGGAGCGCAGAGGGAGTTGGTTCAGGAGGAAGGAGAGACAGGCTGTACAGACAGACATAGAGACAGTGTCTTGCAGGGGAGGGCCACAGTGGGTAAGGAATGACTGTCATCACGGTCCAGATGCCAGATTCTGATTGAACTTGGCATTTAGTAGACATTAACAACTCTCACCACGTATTTGCTGAACAACAGAGATCAGGTTGCAAAATGCCATGGGCATTTTTTAGAAAGAGAGCCCTAGAAGAGGTTTTAGTTACACATATGGCAACCTAGCTAGTCTTTGTATCTGAGCTTCCTTTGCAGTAAACATGGCTGTGCTTAAATTTGGGCTAGTGGTATGTGTGCCACTTGTGAGTCACCATCTAAAATAGAAGCCCAGTTACCATAGACTCTGTTCTTTGGCAGACAGGATGCAGGTACAGAACCGCCTTCCTCCAGAGGAACATGGAGGACACTCATGGGAAACAGAGCAGATAAAACCTGTACCCTTAAGTGCCCTAGTGGGACAGAGGCACCCAAACACCCTTCACCCTTCCTGTAGTTAGCACCAGACTGATGAGCAAGAGAGAAACTGAGTCTAGTCCATTGTGCCCTAAATTCTCTTGAGTTACAGCAGTTTACCCTCACAATAATGAATAGATTCAAAAGTTTGTTATTTGTAAGTGAATGAACAAGATTCAGGAGAACTTAGGTTGCTACCCAGATTCTGTCACTAGTGAGGGCTGCGCAGGGGTGCAATGCTGGAGCCACATAGAGAACACTAGTGATAGTCGTCTGTGAGCTGCCACAGGCAGCAGTGTTCACCTAGAACTAATTCAAACATTGCTTGGTTATGCTGACTGTAAGAGTCAATAAACAAAATAGAGTTTTACAGACAAGACTTTGGTAATCTTCAGAAATAGAAAATCTGGCAAATTAAGAGTAAAGGCAATATCCATAAAGAAGCAAAGTGGTATATAAGAAAGTAAGAGTCTGGGGAAGGTGTAGTGGTTAGCTAAAGCCTGCTGTATGTAACAAAGTCAGCGATAAAATCTACTAGATAAAACTAGTAACTCAAATAGTAGCATGATTGTGGAAATACCAAGATAATCCCTAAAACTAAAGATGAATGGTTAGAAATGGTTTCCTTGAGGAAGGGATAGGGCCAGTTACACCGAGTTCTCTACTAGCTGCTTTGAATATCAAAAAGCTTACCTGTAATATTTTTATCTGTTGATAAAACTAGTTCATTATCTCTTGGGAAAACTGATTTGACTATTAAATGTATTAAATACTTTATCATTTTTATGCTATTTATGGAATAGTTTCCTTAATTTTATTTAAAATGGTAACAGTTGTATTTGGCTTGCAAAGTTATGAGTTACGTTTTTCTGTGTATTTGGAGTTTTCTGTGATAAGTGAATATTATACTTAGAGGAAAAAGTGATTTTAAATTTTAGAAATATTTTATTAGCTAAATACTTGGTTTCAAATATTAGACATTGATTCCAGCAAGTAGAAAAGGAACATTTAAAGAAAAAAAAACAAAAGAAGAAAAGAAACATTTGAGGAGATGCTGGGCTAGCTAGACTCACTGAGAACATGGGAGGACCAGGCTAGGAGGAGACCAGAGCCGGGGCTCTCCAGGCTCCTGCCCCGATGATGCCACAGTGATCGCTGACCTCTGGCTTCTTGTATTGTCTCTCGTTTGGTCTCGCCCAGCTTCAAAATCCAGGAATGTCCTGCTTGAGTTAAATAGGCCTTTGACACTTGGCAAAGAAAGTAAGTACATGGCCCTTTGATTTATAGTCTTAGGACTCACACATCAAGAAACAAATGATTCCTCAAAACGAAATTAAGCTGCTGTTATCAAAGGAAGAGAAATAAATTCTGATGCCTAAAAACAGGACGTTCATCACAGTATAAAACTTGTTATTAATGCAGAATTACAGTTTTCAGTGCTGGTTATAATAAGCAGCAGTCCTCAAAATGAATAAGGAGTCATTGGTGTCAGTACAAGGATCCCAGTTATTGTCACTTAACCTGTGTTGCTGGGGCTGGCCACATGAACATGAGCACTTCCCCAAATGTGTGTCACCCCGCCCCTTCCCGGTATACCCAGTCAATCACCAAGACTCAGCCCAAGCCCTACATCCTCCAGGAAGACTCATCCTCGCACCACATCCTCTTCTGACTTAGCAGTCCCTTAGCGGTCACTGTTCTGTACTTGCCCACTGTGCTGTATCGACCTGTCTCCCGCGCCAGCTGGACTGGCAGGGTCTCTGCTCTGATTTTCTTTGGTCTCCAGCCCTTTACACAACATGTTCACATCAAAACGTTGAGTAAATATTTGTTCAATGAATGAACGGGTAGATTTTCAGAAGAAAAGGGATGGGACATTTCATACGGAGCCCGTGTGTATAAAGGCATGGCACATGGCATATTCAGGGCCTGCTGAGATATTCTGAAGGGTAAGTTCGTAGAAGGGTTTACAGAAGAGACTGCTAAGCGTGACCACAGTTAGCCCTTAAAGTTAGTCTCTTGCCGCATGGCTAGACAGGCCTGTAAGCCCCTTAGGGAAATAGCAAGTGCGACTTGGCAAGCATACCATGGCGAAGCACTGAGGCTTTGCAGTGAATATGCACTGGTTGTGGTTGGACCAACAAAGAGAGATGGTCAGATATTCAGATATTGTCTCTGGGAGCTAAAATGTACAGACCTGGTGTGGCAGCAAATTTGCCCACCAGGCACTTTTCTAAGTTCTGGGCTATAGTAATACGGGCAAGATTCCCACTTCATGGAGCCTTCATTCTAGAAAGGGCGGGCAGATGAGACAACATAGGGAAATGGAGGCAGAAGAGGTGCGGCTCCAGAGCCGCAGGGCTGCGTCGCAGTCAGAGTGTCCAGGACCACACTCTCTGGGTTCAGGGCAGGGCAGTCTCGTGTCTGCACTGCAGATTGCCCCAGTATGGAGAGCAGTCTCCATACTGCCCACGTCCCGGTCATTTACTGTGAAGGTTTCACAAGCAGAATGACTGGTTCTTCACGGTGTGTATTTATGCTGCGACACTTTACAGAAATGTTTCGAGAAAAGAGAAAAAAATAGGGTTACCACAAGAATACTTTCTTCAGCAGAAGTGATGTACTTACACTGCACAGAGGTAATGTTTCTAAAGCTTAATTAAGTACATGATACTGAAAATAAAAGGCTATTGCCTATGTTAAAGACAGTTGCATTTGCCAGTTTGTGATGCCTGAAACATAATATGGCATTTTTAATCCGTAGCCTTGAGAACTTCTTCATTGCTTGTTCTTCTCTAATGGTGACCAGCGTTGGGATGCTTGTTGTGAACATTGGCCTGTGTGGCGCAGTCCGCTCTTCGTGACTGTTACCCAGTGGTGGGTTCATTCAATGATGAAGGCCCCTTCTCGTTCCCAGGGTGCAGATAAGACTGTGAAAGGTCCGGATGGACTGACCGCCCTTGAAGCCACCGACAACCAGGCAATCAAAGCGCTCCTGCAGTGATGGACGATGGACTGATAGCTCGGAAAGAATGACTCTCCTGTGGCCTCACACTGCTGCCTGTCTGTCTGTCACTCTCTATCTGCCAGCTTCTTCAGCTAAATACTTTAAGAGGGATGAGGGGAGAGAGAAATTCGTAACAAATCAGACTACCACAAAAAATAATGTTTGGAGGAGGGGAAACATGACCAGGCTCTGACCGGGACTCCTGATCAAGCCAGCCTCTTCTATTATAAAATACACAGCATAGACCCAAGAGAGAGCAAAGACACACTGTACCGGGAACATTTGACCTTTCAGCTCCCTAGCTAATCCATTAATTAGATTGTATTAAAGGTCTGATTCTACAAAGGCCAACTCTACTTACTCAGCAGCCCTAACTGCAAGCAGTAGCGGCTGCTGCAGCGCAACTTAGGGTGCTGAGCTAAACAATTCGCTCCAGCCTTCTGCCTTAAGCATGCACTCTCCGAGGGTCTCCTGCTAGGTACGGGCACTGCCTGTGGTTGGTGACCAAATCTTCCCTCATGACTTCAGCTTCCTGTGAAAGCTCAGTTAAGATGAGGAGGGGCACACTCCTAAATTGCTGGATGACTGAACTTGGGATTTTCTCTCCCCTTTCACATGGATTTCATGTCTCTTTAGATAAAACTGACTAGTTTATTTATGAAACCTTAAAATTTAGAAGTCTAAAGGGGAAATCATTCCAATATCTGTGTTTTTTTCTCCTTTAGCTTCAGACATTTATATAACATTAAAACACTTTCAAACTCCTGCTGGTAGTAAAGGGGATTTAAAAATAGAATTATAGCCATAGCGTGTTAGTTCATATATAGAGAGAACAGTTGTCCTAGTACCTATGGACTTCTTCGTTTGCTGTTTGAGTTGATTTCACTTATGTTTGGAGAATCAAAGAACAATCTTAGAATGCCTCTCTCTGACCCACCTTAATGCTGATTACTCAGTGCACCAAAGGTATCACTGGGGCGAGATTGACTATTGGAAAAGTTGAACCGCATCCCTGCAGAAATAGGTTTGTTACCAGGTTTCCCTCAGTCATTGATAGGCTTCGCCTGGACATCTGCCAACCCATCTGAACAACATATTTTTCTCAAGCAATTGCTTGAGAAATCATGCATTGTGTAATGTGTGATAACTTAAAATATATTCTGTGTTCTTAGAGTGCAGTGCCCTAAAATGTCCTTAAGACCTGCAGAAAATTTGGGCACATTGCTAGGTGTTTATGTCATGAGCAGTAAAATTAAAGCATACAACCTTAAATTTCATATCTGGCATTTGAAATATTAAGCTTACTAAAAATATTAGGGTTTTTCCTTAGCCAACTCATGCAATAATTGAATGTACCTCAAATTTTCAAAAGTGGGAGAGAGGTCGAGGACTTACATTCAGATTGTGGATAATAAAGACTAAGGATTTTTTTAAGGCAGTGTAGCATTGTACAGCAGGGTTAGTTAAACTATTACCAAGAACAGCCAGTCTGGCTAGTAAGTTTTATCAGTCAGTTACTGATTGGTTGGTGGTGTGGGAGTGTGTGAGTGTGTGTGTGTGTGTGTGTATGTGTGGTGTGTGTGGGTTTTTTTCCCCCATGAACCCTTTTTTTATCCTGTGGCTTTTTCACTTTGAATTAGCCTAACCCTGTAATTTTCCTGTGTCCAAGAACACAATCACAAAATGGTTTAAATACTTTGATACATTTGGCTAATTCTGCTGTCTTAATGCAGCCTATCAGAGCTGGACATCCTGATTGGAAATGGAGGGCACTCTATCAGTCTCCAGCTGTCAACATAGTGCAGCAGGGTGTTTTTTTATCTTTGTTTTCACCTCTTGGCATAATGCTATTTAAAAGGCTTGCATTGTACCCTTAACACAGTTTTCACCTTCGCTTTCAAAGTGTTCTGTTGTAGTTGGCTATTACAGAGAGTGCATTGTCCTAGCATTCCTAAACTTGGTCTGCTTTCGAAGTCATGGTACCAAAACCATGTGATTCTTTGTACAGTTTATCCTGATGTTCCTTGTAATGCAGTAGAGGCTATCTTGCCTTCCCTCTTCTTTCTCAGCCATTTTGTAAGGCCCATAATTATGAAGCAATTGCTTGAGAAAATTACATATAAACATAGAATAGAATAGACTGGCCAAGATGGTTTGCAATTTCTTTTTTTTTAAACTAGGTTATTTATAATGTATTTCTGAGCCACTTGGCAGAGAAATTCACAACACTTAATGTTTATATTTTGAGTAAAGAAAGCTAAAACCATTCCTGCTTTTTGGTACTACATGCATTAGCAAAAGGTTAAGTAAGTTTTGTTCTCCACTGAAGTACTATTTAACATCTTAGACAAAATCTTGCATGTTCTGTAGTTTTGTATTAAATCATTGAGTCATTTCTTACGTACTACAGGTGGTTTGCCTGTTACAGTAGTTGGCTAACAAATTCCTCTGCAGCTTCAAGCTGGTTTCTCTAGACGCAGAGTCAAAGACCGCACCTCAGTGTTCCAAGTAGCTCTTCTGTGCACAGCTCACCCTTCTAAACCAGCTGGGCACAGAAGTGCATTGATGGCAGGTGCATTGTGTGGAAGCTGCAAACAGGTAGGCCTTTTATTCATTGGTTTCTTTCCCCCAAGTACTGGGTTTTTAATCTATATGTAGCTAATTGATTTTTTTTCCTTAAAACTTCAACTAAGCTGCTGTTTTCTTCCATGCAATATCGTGTACTCAATTGTGTATAGAAGAAGCTGATAAGAGTGCCCTCCTACATAAATAAGCAATTGCAGTGTTTTGCATGCAAAATTTTAAAAAATTGAATCATCCTGATTCTATTTTGTAAATGGAGAAACAATCATATCTTTCTAAGCAGTAATGGAGGAAGACTAGTGCTTTGTGCATTTTTGATATATTTGGGTTCATTTTTCCACAACATCATACTTTTGACACAATTGAGTTTCTCATAAGTATCCTAGTTCATGTACATCTGAATGCTAAATAATACTGTGTTTAAGTTTTGTGTTGCAAGAACAAATGGAATAAACTTGAATTGTGCTACAGCTAACCAGTCAGCGGTATTTTTCTTCCTCACTTTTTCCCACCTTCCTTTGCCAGCCTGATCTATAGTCATACCAAAACCTTGCTTCACTTGAGCTTTTAATTAATCCAGATTACTTCACTCCATTTCTAGAATAAAAAACGGAGAGAAAATAGAACAGGTATTTAATTGAAGTCAATCCTACCAGTCATTGAAAGGTTTTGTTTTGTATTAATCTCCAGATCCATCTCTTCAGTCCTTTCATTCCTCACTTAAGCTGGACATTTCTGGTAGATCTACATCTCCCAGATTCACGAGCACCAGTACTTATCTTAGGGCATACTTTTCAGGATGAATGACCACTCTGAACGTCAGAAACTGAACAGGATTATAGGTGGCGTTAGATTCTGTTGTAATCTTGTCCACCCCAGAAGACTGTCGTCCTGCTTACTTGTGAGTTAGTCCATTAATGATAGAAAAAAATATGTGTCCATGCTAAGACACAGCCAAACCTGTCTTCCAGAGCTATCATGCTATCAGCTGAAATGTATGGTAGCGGGTACGGCTGTGGGTGCAGATGTGCGGAGATTTTTCAAATAAAGTTCTGTTTACTAATTGAGATCTGTTAAAGATGTTAAAATCTGCCTACATATGTTTTAAAGAAAATAGAGCCCCTTTATGTAGTGACTGAGGAGCAGAGCGATGGATGTGGGTGGAACACGCACATCTCAAAAAACGAGTGTAGAGTGAAATTCTCCCGTGTGATTAGAGAGCCTTCATACAGCACAGTACCCACACTGCTGTGTGTGTGTGTGTGTGTTTATAGATACGGATATAGGTATTTTTTCCTTCTTTCCACAGGATCAGTGATCCTGAAAATGTAGTCATTGGACCGGCAGCATCATAACCTAGAAAGGTGGTAGAACCGTGAGTTTTGGGATCCCAGCCGAGATGGCTAAATCAAACCCTGACACTGAGCCCAGCGGTCTGTGTTGTAATAGTCCTCCAGGTGATCTGCAGCTCACTAAGCGGAGGGACCATTGTACAAAGCCATAAGGAGACAAAGGGTCCAAAGCCTATCCATAGGATGTCACCAGGCCTGGCTTCCTAGGAGAAAGAATAGAAGCCCTTAACTGGTGAGACGGAAAACTGGCTAAGTCTTGAAGCTCTACACACCCAGGAAAATGGCAGTGAGCTTCAACATGCTTTGGCCAAAGCCAGGGTAAGATGGAACATCGATGAAAATGGTCTGTCATTGTTCAAAGGGGTTTGTTTTTCTTCTGCTAATACGCATTAAGTCAGTCGTTGTGGCCAGCATTTCTGTAAACCACAGCAGCCTGGGGTTACAGTACTCACTGACTTGCACCTTTCTCAGGTCCTTCCCCTGAACTGCAAAAGAAAAGGGGATAGGAATCCTTGGCTGATAAGTCAAGAGCCATGGCCTGCTTCCTGCATTGGCAATCTCAGGGTTGCACCAGTCCCCAAGCCATGCGCCTGCCCATCCTGTGCCAGCCAGAGAGCCCCCAGGAGATGGTGCTGCCCTGTGGCTCTGGGTTCCTCCAACCTTAGTGGCTGCACCCCTGGCTGGGCAACAGGGGCAGCCTTTGTGCCAGTGCTCTGGGATGGCCTGTCCCCTTTCTCCACCCCACAAGCTGACCTTTTCCTCCCGTTTGTCCCCCTCACCCAGTTATCTCCCCCAGATTCTAGCTGCACTATGTACCAGCCATGGGCCCTTTTTCTCCAAGGCTTGTACTTAAAATGCAGCTGTGGTTGATAGAGAAGGAACTTTTTCATCGACTTTAGTAGCACTTCACACATGGTAGACATTCACTGTATGTGTCCTGAATGATGCCAAAGCGTTGCCCAGGAAAATGATAAAGCAGCCTTGATTCAGTGAGTCCTGCCCAAGATGGGTATGTTGGAACCGTGAGTGTCCCCAGCCACTGGCCAAGAGCCTCCTACATACTAACCGGTGGTGCAGGCACCTGTCAGTGAGGGAAGGACAAACAGCACCGTCACAGTGACTCACTGAGGAAATGCTGACCATGGGGTCGAACACAGGTCACTGTAAGCCACTGTGGGTGCTACTAAAGCACAGCTGTGAATGGCACAGCAGACAAAGCATTGTCCAGCCACCCTAGCAGCTTCTATGCTCCAGCAGCAAGGGCAGCATCTGTGTGGTCTGGGTAGAACAATGGATCACATATCTGGCAACTTTTATGGTATTTTGTGAAAGGAAAACAATGTCTAGCTGCCACTAGATGCTAATTTTGAGGACATTACTGGATAACCATCTTCTAAAGAAGCTCTTTTTCTAACATTGAGACAGACCTGCAAATGTATTATGTACCTGTGTATCCTCTTCCTGGTATCTAATGATGCTCCATATGTATACCCTGTGACAAGCTGCCAAATCTGTGTGGCACCTGCTTGTGACTGGTCAAATTCGCTAGTCTTGAAATTACTCAAATCTAAGGCAATTTATGTAAAATTTTCACTTAAAAGGCCTGAAATTATACCCCAACCCTATGAACCTGGAAACTCATAACACCCATCATTTTGTTTTTTGTTTGAAGTAGGTTCTCAGTGTGCAGTTCAGGCTGGCCTTCAGCTCACTGTGTAGCTCACGCTGGCCTCAAACTTGGAGTGATCCTCCTGCCTCAGCCTCCCAAGTGCTGGAACTACAGGCATGCACTACCATACCTGGCTCATTCTTTAAAAATTATCATTTATTTAGCGTTTTATGGCATTTTACTGTTTATCCATTTTAACTGGGCACTTTGATCTGGGCACTAATGCAAAGTATTTTATGTGAACTCATTTGATCATAGTAACTCTATGAAGCAGGACTATTGTCACTCCTGCTTTCAGATGAAGTGAACGCTCAGAGACATTAAGTAACTTGCCCGTGATCATACAGCTAGTTTAGTAGAGCCAGACAGTCTGGCTGTTAAGTTTGCACTCTTTATCTCTTATTATACTGCCTCTCCAACTTGCACTGAAGCAGCTTCTAACATTGTTCAGCTTTTGCTAAGACTCTTAAAACATATTTAGAAAATATTCTATGATTTTAAACAATTAGATGAAAATCTTATGGAAGATGAGTATGCATTGATCAATTCTCATGATGAAATAAGGTTCTACAAAAACGTTTAATTTTTAAATTTGAAAAGTAGTGATACTTGAGCATAGCACACAATTTTTTGACAGTCTAGAGAACTATAGTTAATCAAGAATTGGTAAACGAAGGACCACGAGCCAAATCTGGCCCACCATCTGTTTTTTGTAAAGTTTTATTGAAACAGCCATGCTCATTCACATAGATGTTATCTTTTGGCTACTACCACACTTGAACAGCAGAAGTAAACTGCAGATACTGTGGTTCATGAAGCCGAAGATATTTTTGTGACCCCTAAAAGAGTCTGTCAGCCCTACATGGAAATGTTTAGGCAGTATAAGTTTGGCCAACTACTAGTTACAGAGGGTTTTAGCAAAGCCAAGGGAGAATGTAATGAGTTAGTTGAAACAAATGAAAAACCAAGCCTGTAAGTAATATACCACTCTTTATACCTGTGTGAGATTGTCACAGACATGATCCCCAGTGAATCATGCCTCCTGGTATCCATGTCGTTTGTAATCTCTTCTCACAGTGATTCTTGAGGTTGGCCACAAAAGATACACCAAGCATGAATCTTACCTTATGAAAAAACTAAATTTCATAACCAAATAATAAGCAGATCCAGTCATTATATCACTGTGTATCATTATCATCATAGTATTTACACAGAGAACAAAACATCCACCAAAAAAGTTCTTACAAAAAGAACAGATAACTAGAAAGTAATATAAACACAATTATTATGTCTATTGACAGTTCTCTTTACAAAAAGAACAGATAACACAAATCTCTCTTCAATGAACTACATTAAACTCGAAGTACAAATGAAGCCAATCAGGTTACATATTGAAATGTTTTTAAAACAGTGGAATTTGATATTTTGGAAAGTATTTGAACTCCCTATTTATCTTCTCTTCTGTTTTGCACTTAATTTTGTTTCTCCTTTAAGACACACCAGGCAATATTTGAGCTTGTGCATCTGACTTATTTCACTTGCAAATGTTCTCAAGTTGTATCCCTTTATCTGTGAATACCTCAAGTTTATCTTTCTTTATGGCAGCAAAGTAGTTCATCTCTGGCCATCAGAGGTATGCAAGTTGAAACCACACTGAGATACCATCTTACCCCAGAAAGAATGGCTATCATCAAAAAAAATCTAACAATAACAAACGCAAGGTTTGGTAGTAGAATAACTCTTCTGCATAGCTGGTGGGAATGTAAACCAGTACAACCACTATGGAAATCAGTGTGGAGATTTCTCAAAAAACTAAAAATAGAAATTCCATTTGTCCCAGCTATTCCCTTGTAGGTATCTTCCAAAAAGAGTTAAAATCATATTACAGGGATACATGCATATCCATGTTTATACCATATACTAGTACAGTTTATAACAGCTAGATCTTGCAAACATGAATCTTTACAGTGCCTTCTCCTTGAAGCTTCTCTTCCTGGACCTCAGCATGAAAGTGTAGAAGTATTAAGTCTTGGGACCTGAAGTGTCGCTGCTGACAGCTCCAGCCCTGTAAGTGCACCTTCCTGCTGGAAGAGGCGAGCCTGAGCACATCCTCGCCTGTGGGTGGGAGAGCTGTGTGGAGTGGCAGCCACAGCACAAGGCCCCTCACATAGTTTTCACCTTTTCCCAGCACTGCCTCTCAGCGGAGACCTTTGGATCAATTCAGTGCAGCCTTCTAGAAACACACACCAACCCACAGGACCCTCCGAGGCCAAGGAAGGGCTCCAGGTGCAGGGACAGAAAGGGGGAGGAGAGTTAAGCTTATGTGGAACATAAACTGTTAAGGGAACCCAGATACCTACTAGGTGCTCAGAGAATTAAGCTGCAAAACAAACAAGCCATTTGGGCTCCTAATGAATTTACTGGAGGGGCACAGTGAGGATATCAGTTGTGTGA